TTGTGAGTGATTTTTGGGATTTTTTTCTTCTTATTTTTGAAGTATTGTTTAAATGATTTCAATCTTAAAAATGGAAAGAATATCGTCGATGGAAAGAACAAAACAGTAATCAATGGATAGAAGCAATTCTTCTCGATGGAAAGAACAGAAACAGTAATCAATGGATAGAAGCAATTCTTAGTGGTGATATGTGGGACCCACTTGAACGGATTTGACTTTTTTGACCACGGTAGCATGACATGGCAAAAGTTGTTGTGCACGTCATCACTTTTTTAAATTTTGCCCTCTACATCATCAAAAAAAATATTAAAAATGCCATGGAAGCAGATTTAACGGTCCAATTTAACAGAAGGACTAACGGAGTGCATTTCGTATAGTTGAGGGATTAAAAAAGTGCAAAAAATTCTCAAGGGACCAAAAATGTGCAAACCACTAAAGTTTAGGGACCAAAATGAGCATTTAACCAAAACTAAACAAGAGAGAGCGAAAAAAGTATTCTCATGCATGTTCAAAAAAAAGAGAGAGCGAAAAAAGTGAGTGGCGAGATAAATATAAAAGAGAAATCAAATAAAAAAGAGATAAAAAAGTGAATAATAAAAGAAAGAAAAGAAAAGAAAAGAAAAGAAAAGAAGAGAGATGACTCCGTTTTTTTATTTGTCGTTATCAACCGAGTATGAGTATGTGTTAGAATTTTTTTTTTTTTTATTAGGTGCTTTACTCTCTAGAGACTCCAGCAGGGATCCACTGAACCAGACTACAGTTCCGATGATCGATGAATGAGGTAGGCCTGGACCACCTGGTCTTGCAGTAGTGAAATTGAAAATGTTTATTTTATACTTCCCGCCCCCACCCCCCCGAGAAATGGCAGTAATACTTAAATTTTTAAGTTATGAGTTGCTTTTAAGTTACAGAATCCCTAAATTTATTATTTAAATACAAGTATAGGAATAAATTTATTTTTTAATAAAATAAAAATAAAATTTTTTAAATTTATTAATTAAAATAAATTATTTATTATTTAATATATTACATGTTAAAAATTAATTTTTTATTTAAATATTTTTAATAAAAAAGTAATATATAAAAATATTATATATCAAATAATAAATTATTTATTTTAATTTATGATTTAAAAACATAACCTTTTTTATATATTTTTTAAAAATCAATCTATCTTTAACCAAAAGGACGAATCTAGAAATTTTACCGCGTTAAGTTGGGATCAATTGAGTGGCAAAAGTAACTCCACCGTGCGACCCGATAAGTCACATGTTTCAATAAGAATATAAAAGATCACTTATTCTGAAAATTAAATCTCTAATTACTAACTATTCATAACATAACTACTATCCCTTATTTTTATAAAGAAAAAAAAAAAAGAGTGGCAAAAGATTCTAACAGGTACATACACTTTTTGTCTTTTCATATTGTTTTTGGGATTGCCACCTTGAATCCAGTGGGAAAAAAAAAATTAAGAAAATGCTGGAATTTCAATACTAAAGTTAATGATTTAAACGATAAAATTAACATAAAAATGATTTTTAGGTTTTGATGACCCCAAAACCATCCATACTAATTTAATTATTTAAGTTTTATGCATCTTCATCTTACCTAAAATAAAGATTTAAAGAAAAATTGATAGAGTAGCATATAAATTCACAAAATAATTTGCTATATTAATTAAAAAAAATTAAGATAGCTTGTAATTATTTTTTTTATAAAGATAATAATTAATAATTAAATTAAAAATTATTAATAACTAAGATTCAATTCTTAAAATATATAATCTCTCATTTTCTCATTAAAATATATAACCCATCAAACCGCATGGTTGAGTTCAGTTGTAGTTATCTCGATAGAGATGGAACACAGAAAAGGATAAAGATGAAGGCAACCAAACGGCAGGCAAAGAAGGAAAAAAACACGTTATATTGAACATTTTGTGGTCCACAACATGATTATGTACCAACTTATAATTAATTTAGTGGGACACCTCCGTGATGTTTCTGTAATATGGTGGACTTTGTGGCCATTGTGACTCTGTGAGGTCAATCAATTTCTGGAAAATAATTGTGAGGCAAAAGATTCTGACCGCTACGTACACTTTTGTCTTTTCATATTCTATAATTCTCGTTGGTCTTTTGCCTTTGTGGTGTCAATCAAATTGGGAGGCAAACGATTCTAACGACGAGGTACACTTTCTTGTCTTTTCAAATTCTTGCTGTGCTCTGGCCTTTGTGGGAGTGGAGCGGGGGGCCTGGGGTGTCAATCAAATTCTAAGAATGATTGATTAAAACCACTTAACGGGAGTGTAAGTGTTGCTATCTTTTTTTGTTTTTTCATATTGTTGTTGTACTCTTGCTTTGTGGGGGCGTCGCC